GGAGGACAAGTCATGGTGTATACAGTCGTCATCCTTGCACTTGATAGGGGCGTGTCGGCGAGAAGGAGCGTGCACACTGTTTGAAGCCTTCTCAGCCTTTTCGTTGAAACGCGTATGCGACAAAAAGTGATAGAAAACGAGTAACACGAAGGATATAATACAGTAATGTCACTTCCTGGTTCAACGATTGGTGCAGTACGGGTGCGGGCGACCGCGCCGCACGCAGCCGCACTGACATTGACTATCAAGTGCAAGGATGACGACTGTACACTCCCCCTCGGCTGCCCCTCAATACCCTCTCTCTATTCTATGTATATAATTAATAAATATGTATAGCCCACATGTTTCTATGAATACATAACACCGCTACACCATCGTCATAAACCTATAACATGATAGACTCAAATCGAGGGCTAATGTTATCGGAGAGGGACAAAGCGCTCACACCCTTGGCGACTCTGGTTGCTCGCACTCTTCTGAACTTGCTTGCGAGCTTGTGGGAGGGGTATACATCTTTAGGCGACGAAGGGGCGCTGCAATCGGGTGATGTTCGCAACATTCGCGCAAGGACCCAATCCGCTCAACGCAGCATGTTAGCTCCTGCGTCTCCCACATCAACTAGTTAGGATAGTACACAATGACGCAACTCAGAAGTAACGCGTTGACACACCGCAAGAAAGGAAGGGCAACAACTGCCTCGGAGTGAAAGCAAGCTGCTAAGAGCGCGCTTCAGACTTCGCCATCCGCCGGCGATCAGATACGGCTTGGATCGCGAGATCGCGATCGCGCGAATTGGACGTCGCGCGATGCCAGACGCAGCACTGAGGGTGAAATTACGCGGGGGGGTCATCGTTCGTCACTGTTCAACTCAACTCAACAAACACACATCAACATAAGGTGCCTGAAGGGAGCGTACTAATACACCTATTTCTCACATCAGCAAATGCTGCCACCTGCCTCCAATCGGCATCATCCAAAAACGAATAATAAGAGTACAGTTCGACCTTTTTGATTCTTTATCTTCACTGTTCATCAATTCCGCACTACTGACGTTTGCAGAAACCGTCGAAAGGAAAGGTTGTGTATAGACCTGGAGGATGGCAGAACAAACAAAGACACAATGTGACAAAAGTAAAGTGAATATCGGAGGACTGGCCCAAATCGGGGAAGGAGAGAATAACACCATCCACCCGCTGTTAAAAGTTCTGCGTGTCTTACTTTTGGAACAAGATGTTCAATACTCCGCTTGAACGTACTCAGATGCAAAATTCAGTATAATAATTAGCATATTGTATATTTAGTACTATTTTACATAGGAAATAATAAATAACTCAAAGATATTTCGAAACGTTCTTTAAAATTAGGAGGGCGTTAGTGTCCAAAAGGAGAAAGATAGGAAACAGAGAGAGAGAGCAGGATCGAATAAACGTATCCGTAGCCACAAACCCCCCCCGGCAGTAATTTTCACGCTCATAGCGCGAACTGCGATCGCGCGATCCGATCGCGCGACCAAAGCGATGCCATCGGCGCGAATCGCGAAGTCATGAACGCGCTCTAAGGCTCGTTTATGACTTACGCGCAGCTTCAGCGTAGAGTAAGCCCGACTACCAGCGACGCCCAAGCGCAGTGCGGAAGAAAGGAATGCATATCGATCTAGCGTTCCCAGCGTCACCAGCGTCACGCTAGCGTACGCCAGCGTTTCTCCAGCGTTTCACCAGCGTTTTGCTAGCGTTTGCAGCGGCAGGGGAGTAGAGACTATGTGGCCGAGAGACGCGCAATCGATGTGTATTGTAGAGACTATGTGGCCGTCAGAGACGCGCAATCGATGTGTATTGTAGAGACTATGTGGCCGTCAGAGACGCGCAATCGATGTGTATAGTAGAGACTGAGGGCGAGTGAGAGACGCGCAATCGATGTGTTTTGTACCCTCCAGCTCTCCCATAGTCTCTACTCCCCTGCCGCTGCAAACGCTAGCAAAACGCTGGTGAAACGCTGGAGAAACGCTGGCGTACGCTAGCGTACGCCAGCGTGCCGCTGGTGACGCTGGTGAAGCTAGATCGATATGCATCCTCTCTTCGGCACTGCCGCTGGCGTACGCTGGAAGCGCTACGCACGCTGCCGCAAAGTATAAACGCAGCCTAAGGAAAGAAATGTACCCCATCTTTCACTAATATTGTCCGGTGATCAACTGATGTCCATGCGCACAGTAACTTTTTTCTTTTCCATACAGTAACATATACACTAAAAATAGACCTGTACTGCTCAACAATTAGCTTATCTTATACCGGCATGCCTGACACGTATAACCTGAGGAATAGGCACAATAAGAGGAGATCGTTGATTCAAAAGCTCGCTTCAAAATTAGCCATCAGCTCCATTTGGCTAGTCAGATCCACATCCTTGGCTAGCTCACGCATTCTTCTTTCCTAAACCGCCACGTCATCATAGGGAGAAATAACGGACAAGAACTTTATTGTACCTGTTCTCTACGACGAAGCATCTCTCCTTCCTGTGTAAGAACGTACGAATGAGGTGAAGTCCCACTATCATTTGATTCCTGATGGTGCGACTCCCCTGATTCATTAGAATGTTCATAATATTCTTCTCGGAGTTCTCTATGTCCGTGAATTCCTCGCTGACCCTCATCCACTTCGTCTCTGTTCATGCAATTTCCGTCATGCTGACTGTCTTTATCCTTTGGTACTGCATCCTTTACAGGGTCTTTAGGATTAGAAAGGCCGCTCTGAGAAACAGGACGATTGGGACCATGGTCGCCACGATTAACATCTGCTCCACCAACCGCACGTTGTCCGTCTCGTTCACGACGTCGCTGTTCTTCATCCATGCGCAACTGTTTCCTCTCTCGTTCACGACGTCGCTGTTCTTCATCCATGCGCAACTGTTTCCTCTCTCGTTCACGACGTCGCTGTTCTTCATCCATGCGCAACTGTTTCCTCTGCAAGGACAACCCGTCGTTCACGACGTCGCTGTTCTTCATCCATGCGCAACTGTTT